TACATTTAAAGAAGTCGAGGAAAATAAGAGTAAATAGGGGCAAGAATGAAAAAATAGTCAACGTCTCCAGAAAAGCTTGTTTTCGAACACGACACCATTATTTGATGTGGATAACATATATTTCTCGCACCATCGCGTTTTGAAGCTCTGGAAGCGTGATATCCCCCTCGTTCGTATTCAGTGGGATCGCCACGGAGCCACTTGAGAGCAAGAGGCTGATAATCGCGCTCGTTTTCCCGATTTTCAGTACTGATGTATATATTTCTTATCTTTCATGTATATATGTTCCATTTTGTATTTCCGGGGACGGAAATAAATTAACGAGGGAGGATTGTAATATCCCGTCATGTTATTAATATAAATCATGCGTTTAGTTCCGACATATTAATATTATCGATTATTACTGTTCGGAATTAATTATTTCAGTCAAGATTATCCTAAATTATTTTCGAAGTCACGTTTACGTTCGGAATAATTTTGGTATTTAAGTATCAAGCTTAGCTAAATAATTAAGCACAAGATTATGCTTAATTAAGAATTAATCACGCTCCAACATTAAAATGCCGTGAGCATTTTATGTAAGTCATGAAGATTTATCTTAGCATGAGGGGTCTCAAGCTTAAGGCATAAGTGGTGACTAATACACATGTTTAGATGACTAAGCATGTTAAGCCTCTCTTAAGTCTTAATTTTCCAACATTTGGCAAAAAATGATTGGCCAAAATAAATCTTCACCTCTTCATCATTTCTTTCGGCCATATATTAGGCTAAGTGGGGAGAAAATTCTTCTCCACTTAAAACATATCATGAGCAGCTATATGTATGAATGTTAGGGAGAATTTTAGTTTATTAAGCTTAAGTGTTCACGGAAGAAGGGAGAAAGAACCACCGCACGCGCACGAGAATTCGGAAGTCGTACTATCACTCGAGTTATTAAGGAGGTAAATTCCTCGTTGATATTGTCTTATTGTTAGTATCTTCCTCCTTAGTTCAAACCTTAGGCCTATAGTTCATGAATTATCTTTAATTTCTCTCGGTCGTGCGACTTAGACCATGTCGAGCATGTCAAATTTATTCCGAAACTCTTGAACAAATTTTCATGTATTCAGTTATTATATGCGATTTCATGTTAAATCAATTCATGGTTGTCGAGAGATTTTCTGTTCGGTCGAAGAATCGGCCTAAAGCCGTAGGCGGTGCACGGTGCACTCGTCACCGGCCATCGTAGTCCATCGAGTTAAATTTATGATTTTTAAGTATATTCAGCAGATTTGAT